ATTTGTGTAATTAAATATGAAATGAAATGTAATATTAGCATGCTATTTGCTATCAGACAAACAAGGCAGGCACATTAACAGCATTTTTATCGCGCAATCATCAGTTATCGATTGCCATTATTGTGCGTCCCCTGCTCCTGCCCTTTTGCTGTGTGGGTGTTGCCAGCCTGTTGGATAAGGAGGGCGCTACAAGTGCGCACATGTGTGCGTGTGAGTGACTATCAGTGTGTGCCTGTCTGTCTATACTTGTATATGTTTATCTCGCTTGCTCTCTTCTTCGTCCGCGACATGACACTTAACTTTTGGTTTATTGACCCCAGTTGGAAATTTGGTTAGCTTTGATTTGATTTGCTTGGAGCGTCAATCAATTGGGTTAACAACAATTTGCTGCACAATTGATTAATGTAGTAAGCCGGGTAGGCCAGACTGGCAGACGGCCAGACAGCAGCCACAAGCATCCACTTGACTTCGACTTGAGGCGCGATTCGTTTACATTTCATCAGTATTTCAATGTTTGTTGCCGTCTGTTTGGCAGCCTGGTAGAATTGTCATTCAATATTGTGTTGTGGCCGGTCTGTCCGGTTTTCACCTGGTCCCCAGTCTTTCTCTCCCTCGCTCCTCTCTCTGTTCGCTCTCCACGCTCTTTTATTGAGCGTTTTATTCATAATTTTCTTGTTGCCGATGTTGTGTTAAATACAGTTAGTTCTTGTTTCTCTATTGCTGCTTGATGCCGTTTGCTTTCTCTATTTCATTCGTTTCTCTGTGTGCTGTATTGTCAACCGGATAAGCAGCTGAAGATGTTAGTGAGTGTATGCGTATGTATGTCTCTCTCTCTGTGTGTATGTGTGTGTGAGTAATTATGTAGCCATGTTGAAATAGCTAAAGAGATTTCTACTAATGATTAGATTGGATGTGTTGAGTATAGAATGTTCATTGGTATCTTTGGCCAGCAGGGTTAATAACGCTTTGTGCTGTCTATAGTATTGTTGGGGCTTAGTTGCCAGGTCTTCCATATATATATACACATAATATCTATATCTAATATACAATTCTGTTTTTTTTTTTGCTCTTCGTCTCTTGCAGCCGTCATTGTTTCCATCTACGAGGATCCTGTGCAGCCCCAGCAGGCCGCTTCTGTGGTGGAGAAACTTGGAGATTATCTGATTACTTGCGGGTACTAGAAAATAACTGAATACAAACAAAAAATATAAAAGCAACAAGAATTCAACACCATCAACACACACCAGCAACAACAACAACAACAAATTCGCTAAGAAAAACCGTAAAATGAACTAAATAACTAAAACAAGAAAAAAGTAATTATTAATATTTAAATTTATGAGAAATGCCAAGAAAATATATATTTTTTGAGGTAATTGTGGTCAAACAGATCTGAAACTGAAAATAACAATTTAAGAACAATGTCAAAGAGTGTTTATCACCATCCACAGCATCAACATCTTAATTGCCCAAAAAAATACCTACAACAAAATTATAAATTTCTACATTATTATATTTAAACATTTTTTGGTTCATACGATAAAAATAATAATAATAAAAAACAAAAAAAATTACAAAAACCAAACAAAATCTTAAACTCAACATAAGCTAAAAGAAAAACGTATTGGAAAGCATTTTGTAAGCAACACATCAATAACAAGAAGAAGAACTAGAGGATGAAGAAGAAGAAGCAACAAACGCAAAGCAACGCAGGCAAATTTTTGAATACTTTTTTGTACAGCAGTTTAGTACACAAATATATATACACCGATCTAAAAAACATACACAGAGACTAATTGAGAGTGAGTGAGAAAGAGATAGAAATAGCAGGAGGTGGTGAGGGGAGGGTATTGAGAAACCGAAAAGAACACGGAAAAGAGAAAGAAAGATAAGTCAAGTCAGTCAAGCAGCAGTGAACACACACACACACAGGTAAATGCCAACCAATATAAATGATATATAAGTATATATATATATGTATATTTATATATGTAAACTATTTGGAGAACTATGAAGCTCTATTTTTATGTGGCAGGGAAGATACATACACATGAAAAAAACAAAAACGAATATAAACAGCCGCGCAGTGAGCTAGGCAATTTTTTATACCAGAGAACTTTCAGAATATTTGTGTAATATTTGAAAATGCAAATAAACAAAAGTGAGAAGTAAACTAAAACAAGAAAAGAATATACACATTCTTTTAGCCATATTTGAAATCTATGCTCATCTTTGGGGTGTTTTAGTAAAGGAGTGAATGAATAGCAGAAGAGAAAAAGGAAGACGAGGTCGAAGCAGATTCCAATCGAACACCAACAACACGCACACATTTAACCGTTTTCCAAACCGTCTCATCTAGCCATACATATATAGATACATACATACATACAATGCATACATACAAACATACCTATATATTTGGTCACTTGCGCCATTTGCTCTCTCTCTCTTTCTGTATGCGCTTTTCATGTTTGTAATTTTGCAATATTCATTAAAAAGTAAAAAAAACGCTAAGACATCATACACATTTATCGATAAACGATGAACGGCAAATGACGCGCAATTCGAACGCTGTGCAACACTGTCCGCCTACTGTCGCCAGCCTTTGATTTGAATGCCCGCGCTCTACAGGATCTTTGCTGAGTAGACAACAAGAAGAAGAATGACAAGAATTTGGCAATTCACTTTTGTCATTCACTAACACACATATACACACACATTTACATGCATGCAAGTAATAACGAAAAGTAAATCAAATCAAATATGCGAAAAAAGAAAACGTAAAGAAATCATAAATTTACAAATTACTTAAATCATACATAAATAAATGGCTTTTTATGTTAGTTAAACAAATGTCCCAACATTTTCCAACATTTCTTTTTCTCCATAAAGCGTCAAAATTCATCAAAAATTAAAAAGAAACCCATGAATGCATAAATATTAAATATATAATATGAAATTAAAGAAAAAAAAGGAAATGAAAAACCATATATAATACGATACTTTAATACTATTGAAATAAAAAACAGGGCATGGCAAAAATCCTGCTCATAAAAATGATAATTATGTGTGTTTTTTCTTTTAATGTTAAGAAATAACGGGCCATTGACTTGGTTGTTGGGGGTTTCGTGCCGCAGATTGCGAATCAATAGTTCAACGAACTTTCCGCTATCAGTGGAAAGAAATTTGTAAGCTACTATATAAGCATTGAGAAACGGTTCTCTTTGTGTTCCTTTTCTGATTTGCTGTTAAATTTATCAACTTATTTTTAAGCTCAATGTCTGACGTAATTGCGCAATTATTTTGCAAAAATAATATGCAAATATGTATGTATATGTGGGAATGTTTTCGCACATATTGAAATATATTTATATTTTCTCTTTTTTATGTCCATTTTCTTACAGCAGCTGCTTTGCGCCTCAGCAATTGACATTTTCAGCATATTTCTTTCATTTTCTTTTTATACTCATTCACGAATTGAAATGAGTATATTGATTTTGTGCACAGCCCTACTTGACTTATAAAGCATACCCTAGATTTGAGAGGCAAGATTTTATGTGGCAAATCGGAAAATGCATTTTCCCATATACATATACAATAGATCTGACAGTGTTTGGGCCGGTAATGAGTAAGCTGCCGTCGGTAATGCCCGTTTGCAATATTCTTACTTTTTTTGTCTTCTTGGCCCACAACATTGACCCAAATTAGAAATTCTTGTATACACCAGCGCGAATATCTTCGCACATCTTTGCTTTTTATGCCACTTTCGCTTTTGGATGAATTTCTTTTTTCTTTCAGTGAAAATCAAGTTTTTTTTTTTTTTTTTTATCGATTGCACAATTAATCAAGACATATCATTAGCTATTTTGAGAGTGTGACTGGGTCGAACTTTTTATTATTTTTAATTTTTCTTACCCATAGCAATTTGTGACTCGTGCTTAACGTTTTGTCTTTGGTTTTATAGCACTAACGGCAGCTGGAAATCAACACACACATTAATTCACTTAATAAAATATGCTAATTTTTCGATTATTTAAATGCGCCTCAATGAAAACTAAAACTGACTCGGCCTTGCATCTTTCTCTAGTTTTGATTTATTTCGAATTGGTATTTGAAATTCAATCAGAAAGACAAGCATATAATTTTTTGCAGTGTTTTCTCCACACTCTTAGCTAACTGTAAACTTGAATTTCTAGTATATCAAATTTAAACAACAAAAGAAATTAGTCAAATTTAGTTTAGTAAATATTTACCAAGCAGAGCTGTTTTATGCATTTTTAATTATATAATTTGCCTTGCAAATGCAATAAAATATGCATATATGTTTAATATTGATTTTTTCCTTTTCTTAAATATTTTGGTTTTTCTTTAAATAAAATTAAAAATTTTAATTGAAAAATTGTAATTCTGCAACTATAAATTAATAAATTTCGTGAATATTATAATCTAATTTTCTAAAATCTACTACTAAGTTAAAGTTATACTACTTTTCTCTATGAATAGTAATATTATAATAAAATGGTATATCTTACATACATATATACATACAAACAAAAACAAACCGCCTGAATAGACCGATGCAAGACCTTTATCTATATTATAATAGGTCGATTTGTCTCATGTGAAAAATATACCCTCTCTGGTTAAAATATTCTTTCTAAAAATTAGAGGAAATACCACTTCCTATTCTAGATCGCCAATGCACGTCAAAGAAAATCCTGAAACTTCTATAGTTCTGAAGCCTAAATGCCTGTAAAAATTTTCACTGGGCGCTCCAAGCAAATCCACTAAAAAAATACAATGAATTTCAGATATTTTTTGTTACCAAAGTTGGGAAGATTTTCTCCTACACAAATAGATCTAGTTTTTGGATACACTTAACTGTTATTGTACAGCGAACGTCTCTTATACACCCTGTCGCTCCATTCCCTGCTCTAGGATCTTTATTAAAAGATTCACTTACTGCATACACACACATTAGTACATACGTAGAGCTGATCAAGTGTTAAAAAAGTCTTCACTTCACTTAAGAATTTAGAATACACATACATTTAGATGATATGACAAATTGCCGCTTAGAAACCGGTTTGCCCCTCCCAGACGCGCAACTGTTCCACGGATAGCCAAAAGAGGACCGACCAGGGCCCCAGCCGTAGCCAGCAGGGTATTAGACCCTTGTACAGATTCATGACACCCTCCTCTCTGATCAATTTCAAAATGCAGTCAAGCGAATTCTTGTAGTAGAGGCCCTTGCCCTTGTCATCGGTGGGCTGGTTCATCATGCGCGACTTAATAACATCAGCCGGATTGCTGAGCACACTGGCCACCAGTCCGGCGACCATCGATGACGCCAGCCGCAAGGCTATGCCCTCACGCATACCTAAGTGTTTCTTTAGATTGCGCTTGCACAGATCATAGGCGCCCACGTCTCCGGCCGTCATGAGGCAGGCGCGCATGCAGCTGGGACCGACGCCACGCCACATGCCAACAATACCGGATTTTCTGTAGACGGTTCGCAGCACATTCGGGAAGCTGGTGCTGCGCGGCGCCAGCCCCAGTAGTTTCCGCCTGCCCTCCATTTGCATGCGCACCTTGGCTATGTCGAAGGGATTGGCCAAGGCTTGGGCTATACAGCCGGCGGTGCAACCGCACATAAACGCATGATGTACCCGAATGGACTCTTGGTGTTCGCTATCAACATAGATGTAGGGTCGCCGGAATATATCGTAGAGCATGACGCGCATCGAATTGAAGATGAAATTCCGCAGCACCATTGCCGAGAAACCGGCATATAGAGCCTTGGGACCCTCTTCGACCGCAATGCCATACAATGTCCGGAGCATTTTGCGCGGCTTGCCGCCGGTCTTCTTCTGCTCCTCGCCGAACATCTGCATCCGGGTCTTGCCCACGTCCAGCGAATACATACATCCCTCCGCAAAGTTGGCGCCAATGAATGTGTTGATATACAGCATCAGTAGATTTTTGAAATTGATCTCCTCCTGGGAGTTGGCTATGCTCCTGGCGAATTGCTTCTTCTGCAACGGCTTCATGTGCCAATAGTCATTCTCATCCCTATTCATTATTATGTCAATTTGGATTTACTAGCTTTATTCCAATCGAACGGATACGATAAAAATAATTTTGACAATAGTTACTAAGAATGAACACATATACATATGTTTTGTTGTGTGATAATATGGACAGTATACTAATTTTGGATCTAATCTAATAGGCCTCATCGCCACGCCATCTACGTATTTGCTCAAAGGTTGTCCAGAATATCAGGGTCCACGGACCGATGCGCAGCCAGTAGGGAAAGAAACCTTTGTACATTGCAAAGGCGCCTTCCTTCTGTACCAGCTTTTTGAAACAGTCGATCGTGCCACTGTAGTGGACGCCTTTGCCACTCGGTGCGACCGGCTGATTCATGATCCGTGATTTGACCACATCCATCGGTGTGCTGAGAACGGCGCAAGCGAATCCAGCTATCATCGCACCCATAAATTGAATCCGGCGATCGTCAGGCATATCTAAAAGGACCATCATCTTACGTTTGCTTAGATCGTAGACACTAATGTCGCCTGCAAACGAAACGATCGATTAGGCATATGCATCAAATACTCTAGGTAAAATTTAATAATTCCCTCACAGAGAACAGAGAATATCTTTACTGGTTGTAGGCTAATTTTTACTCAGATTAAAATTCAGGGAAGCCTCTTTTCTATGCATTTCTTAAGCAAAGAAATCCATTAGAAGAAAAATGGATATCTTAAATCAACTAACGGGAATACCTCTAATATTCGTAAATTACAGTAAATACTTTCTTTAAATGCAAGATTTTTCGAATCAATATAGACAAGGCATACCCCTACTATTGCTGCAACCACTTACCTAGCGTTACGAGTGATGCACGTAACGCATTTGGGACGGTACCCTTCCAGAGGCCTCTTATGCCGCCCGTAGTATAGAAGTAGCGTAGGGCCTGAACAACATTTTTTACACGTGGCTCTTGGCCTAACGAACGGCGACTGCTCTCCATCTGCATCTGCACCTTGACTAGATCGGCGGGCGAGGAAATGAAGTTGGCTAGGCCGCCGGAAAACATGCCGGCAAAAGCGCTGCGGAAGAAAGTCAACTTCGGCTTCCCGTCGCGATCTTTGATGATCAACGCGTCGCGCAGCGTATCATAGAAGTACATCTTCATGCCCGTGAACATGGAGTGACGAAAGAACATGGCCGATAAACCGCCATACAAGTGAAATAGTCCCTCGTTACGGATTATGTTGAAGGCAGTGCGAAAAGTTCCAGTCCGTTTCATAGTCGCGTACGCCTTGTTTGCTTGTTCGCCCTGGATGTGCATGCGGGTCTTCATCAGATCCAGGGGAAAGCAAACTAGTTCGGGAATCCATGCTGATACCACGGAAGTCAAATAGAGCTCCACAAAAGGAGTTCTCTCATTGGTCGACAGATACGATAAGCGATAATCCGACTTGGCCTCCTTCTTATTGGATACGCACTCCTTTGGCAATATTGATCGCGGCTTGTCGTTCATGATTGTAAAGAGGTGTAAAAAAAGTACTAAAACTCTAAGAAGTATTACTAGAATTTCGTTATATTTATGTATGTTGTGTATCAAAAATTTTGATAAAGTCTCAAGGATAAGAAAGTATTTCATAAAAAATCAGACAACTATAGAAAAACAATTTTATTTTTGTTTTATAAAACATTGGTTTCCATGATGACTATTTTTAGTCTATATTGTTAATTGTCAAATTGCAAGGCGCAAAAATTTACATTTTGATTTCACTTAATTACTGTGCCCCATTTCGCTGGTTCATATCTATAAAATGACCCAAGAAAATAAGCGAGAAAACAGTTAAAACAGTTTTAATTGGGAGTATGCACTAGCGAATACCCTGCAATGAGCATAGGCAGCCTTCTCCAAAAATTAAATTTGTCTTATCTATTAGGCAGAGGATTTTTGTTTGTTTAAAATGAATTTCTTGTTTCTATACATAAACAAAGGTTTATTTATGCTGTGGTCTATTTAGCAAATCAACTGGCAACAAAATGCGGAGGGAGTTATGCAATGAGTGGATGAAATGAGTGTGGACTGTGTTTTGTGTAAGCTCTTATATCCTATTATTGCGTCTAGCAATTACTCAAAGGGAAAGACAGAGAGAGAGAGAGAGAGAGAGGGAAAGATACGGAGAGAGCATTCTTGCATACATGTGTAAATCAATACGCTGAAGCTTTTGATCCCGTTACCTGATGGTGAGCTGCCTTCGTCAAGGAGCGGACAATGAAATGGTGCGAGAGAGCGAGTAAGATATGTATGTGTGTGTGCCAATTGAAGTATTGTTGCTGGTTAAGAGAGGATTTTAGTTTGTGCGTGTATGCCTGTTTGATCGGCTAAAGTAAGTACGCGTGTCTTTTGTTGTTTATCTATTTGAGTCAAATTATCAGCGTTGCGATTAGTTAAAGTCGCGAATGTGTGGGTGTGTGCTAAAAGTCAATTTCAACAAATTATTTCGCCAGCATGGTAAGTTCATTTAACTACAATTTTATTAATGAATCTGTGTGTGTGCATATCTATATATGAATATATACATATACATATGTATGTATGCATATGTACACAGTGCCATTTTTGCTGTAGAGCTTTTTTGCATCACATAAAAATGGCACATATTTGCGGTAGTATTTGATCCACATTTGCTGCTTAGGCAAAGAGCATGAGTGAGAGTTCTGCAAAGCTTTTTCTTATTCTTAAATACATACATACATATGTATGTTGAATTGCTCTCAAGTTGGATGAATAGAAGTTGCTCTATTTTTACATACATACATATGTTTGTAAGTAAGCAGCGCTGTTGCAAGCATTTGCACAAGATTATTATACCCTATTGCCAGGCACTTTGTAGTGGGTAAATGGTATAAAAACTATAGGCGATAAGGCAGATATGGCAAATTAAAGCGAAACGAAGAACTTGATGACGATGACTTTGCACGCTACAGCGGACCGCGCCCAAAACTTAAGATATGTGGGCAGAGTTGGAAGGGGTTCGTCGTAGGGTGGTTGCATAAACTGCTTATTGAAAATAATGATGATTAGGATGTTTGTGTGGGAGTGTGTGTGTGAGCGTGTTTTAGTGTGTGCCAACACATGTTGTGCTGCCGTGCAACGGCAACGCAGGCTACCCTCAAAATGCGCCACGTCCTCGACTTGGGTGCGGTTCCCAGCTAGTCAGCCAGTCACCCAGTCAACTAGGGGAGTTGGCTATAGAGCCAGCCACTTTGTCTATGCCGCCACCATCCTCGTCGTCGTCGTCGTCGTCGTCGTCTCATTTGCCGAATGAGTAAATGAGTGAGTAAGTGGCGCTGTCAGTCAGTCGGACAGACAGCGCAGGAACAACAAAAACGTAGCCAGAGCACGCGCCCATACATATTACACCTATATATTATGCGAAACTGGCGTTTCCTACTGCCTTGAACTCGCTGCCTCGCTGCCTCAGTGTCTCTCTACCTCTCTGCCTCACTTCCTCTTTGCCACCCTTCCCCTAGCTTCAGAGTCTTTAGCACTTTTGTTAAATGAAAGCGACGTTTTGTGGTCGGGTGCGCAGGGGTACGACCGGGCCAAGTAAAGGGGAGCTGCGTAATTTGAAATTCCCGACACACGCACGATTTATATATATATGTATCTCTATATATGTATCTATATATATGTGTCTCAGCAAATCGCTAGATGAGCTGTTCAGCTTGCTTACTAATGGCTCCTAGCATTCAAATGGCTCTGGGCTGCTGCGTCAGGTCAGTTTATGCTGAACTATAATACGATTCGATGAAATCCAATATGCTTTGACCAACTGACCGATTTGACGAACACTGAATAGAGCTATCTCTATATGTTCTTACATATCAGATGTTTTTCTATATACATATGTCTAGCAGTATAAATGTATATATGTAGTCTGTCTAGGTAATGTTGACTGGACAAACTGAACGGTAATTTGAGAGTTTGTTGAACTGCAGCACGCGAAATTGAAGTCCGCTAAAAAGTTGCTACAATCAGCTGAAATTTCAAATTAATGTTGAATGTTTAATGAAAGAACAATATTAAAGAAAAAGCTGATGGATTTGTGGCTAATGACAACGTCCAAATACACTGCCATTGAAGAGATCTTAGTAAAATTATATGAAAATTCTTTAGATAATATATATTTTATAGTCTATAATAAAGGATTAAAAAGGATGTATTTAATAGAAACGCAAGTCTTTTATTGATTTATTGCAATAACAATATAAAATATAATAACAGATATAAGAACTTTTATAATATAAATACCACCATCGTTTCGTTCCATTTAGTCTAGTTGACCTTATCCGATTAAAGAGTAGTGCATCCATATTGAACCCTCTGGCATGGGTTCGGACACTATGTACAGCTCGAAAGGGGTTTATTCAGTGTTACGAATTTCGAGTGAAAGAAACTCCAATTACCGGTGCAGCTGAAAAGGCAGCCAAGACACAAGAGGCGGCCAAGAGCAAGTGAACCAAGAAGCACTGCAGCACGGATTGCGCAAGATTTTACATAGAATTCTGTGGGTGAGTCGTGGGAGTTTCAGGTTCCCAGCCAACGGGGATCTCGCTAACCTCTTGTAGTGCTCTCTTTTGATGATTGCGACACTTGCAGAGTATAAAAGCCGTGCGCCCAGCAGCAACGGAAGTTAGTAAACGGAAGCAATGGCCAATTATCCACAGCACTTGAGGCTGCTGCTGCTGCTGTCGCTGCTGCTGCTGTGCCCTTGGCTGGCACTTGGACTAGTCCAAGAGCAGCAGCAGGCGGCGCCACGCGAACAGCTGGATGCGCTGCATCGCAGCAAGCGTACGTTGACCACGATTTGTGTGGAGATCAAGCCGAGCGGACCACAGGAGGAGCCCTATTTCATGTGCAAGGGCACCGACTTTTCACGTGGCGGCGCCCCAGCTCAGCCAGCGGCTGAGCAGCAACAGAAACAACAACAACAACAACAGCAGCAACAGCAACCCATTCAGACTTATCAACAGACGGAGCAACAAACGAGGCCCATTAATCCACAGTA